AGTGGCGCTGTGGCTCAAGTGGTAGAGTGCTAGCCTTGAGCTGAAGAGCTGAGGAACAGCGCCCAGGCCCAGAGTTCAGGCCCCAGGACCAGACCACCCCCCCCAAAAAAAAAAAGTCTCATGGACTTTCCTGGCCTGGCTGGCTTTGAACCATGATCCTCAGATCTCAGCCTCCTCAGTAGCTAGGATTATAGCCATGAGCTACCACTGGCTGTAAAGGGATGTTTTTCTGAAAATCATATTTCCATAGTACTTCTGTTGAGGCTTATTATTAAAGATGACATTATTGTCCCTGATTTTTAGTCATACTGTCTTAGAAAAGGTGAGGTGGAAATGTTGCTAGCTAGTACTTTTTTGTTCAAAACCGGGACCCAAATTTAGTATCTGATGTTTTCACTCATTGGCTGGCACTCTATCACTTGAGCCATGCCTCCAACCCCTTCTAGCTAGTTCTATCCTTTTTTATGTGTTGTCCAGGGAAGCTGGAAGAAATCAAAGGAATAAAATAATAAAAAGATTTTTTTTTTTGTCAGCCGTGGGGCTTGAACTCTGGGCCTAGTGCTGTCCCTCAGCTCTTCAGCTCAAGGCGAGCACTCTACCACTTGAGCTACAGCGCCACTTCTAATAAAAGGATTCTTAATGGAAGAACATTTGCCACATAACGGTTAACTGGTGTTCTGTTTTAGGCTAACATGTAGCTTTTGTTTTTTATTTTAGAAGCGGAAGACTTTCATAACAGTCCTTGAAATCTTGATGCCATTAATCTTTTCTGCACTTGTGTTGTATCTACGTTTCAGCAGTATACCAAAAACAAAACCTCCTACTAGCTACCACCCAATTGATGTCAGTTCACTGCCAGAATTCTTCTATAACTATCCACTGAAAACTAAATTTCAACTAGTTTATATTCCTTCCAGAAGTGAAACTTTGAAAGCTCTCACTGAAATAGTGGAACAAACCTTTGATGTTGAGTTCGAAGGTTAGACATAAGATGGGGTAAGAGTGTGTGTGTGTGTGGAGGGGGTTATGATGCATAGTTGGAAGCTATTTCCTGAGAGTTCTTTAAAAAATGATTCCAAACCTGGGGTCTTTAAACCCTTTGTGTCAATGTAGTTAAGGGGAAGCTGATCAAAACATCCTTACTCGTTCAAAGACCACAGGTTTCAAGGTTAAGTTGTTAAAAGTTAAGTGTTTGTTTTTAACTTTAACTCACTATCTTGACTGTTATCTCACATTAACCAGAAGGTCTGATTGCCAGTTCTTACAAGTCAGACTAAGCAACTGTGGAAAGCATTCAGATTCTGACAGTCCTCTCTGCTTCTGCTTCTACTCTTGTCCCATTGTAATCCAGTCTCCAGGTGGAGGCATAGAGGTCCTCAGAGGTCAGTAGATTTGACCCATCTCCTGCTTAAGCCCATCAGTAACTTTCCAGACTCAGCCAAGCTTTTTCCCCCAGCTTCCTCAGGCATTCCTCTTCCCTATACTCTCTTAACTCTCTCTCTCTCTCTGTCTCTTTGTCTCTCTCTCTCTGTCTCCTCACTAGGAACCCGCCATTCCTGTGTGCCATTCCCACTGATTCTTTAGATTTCAGCAGAAACAACCCCTAGGAAGGCAGCTAAATAGGTTTTAAGTTTCTTGCCTTTTCCTTTTGTCCTTCATTGAACCTGCTTCATATTTTCTTAGCATTTCCATGAATGTTTAATCCTATTCTCCCTTGTTCTCTGCATATTATCTGCCTTTCCCATTAGACCACCTCTACAAGGCAAAGGACCCTGTCTGTTTTGGTTAGCACCATGCCTCTTACAGTGTCTGGCACATAGTAAGTGGCCCAGTAAGTGTTTCTTGAATAAATTAATATGGTTAGGTAGATAAAATATTTCCCAAGTGTTGAATCTACAAAAGAAATTTATTCAGTTACTTTGTTACTGTTAGGTTTTTAAAAAAGAGGTAGCCGAGTAAGAACTGCACCACGCACGTGGTATTCAGGTAAGGGGTAGGTTTATTCAGTAGACCTGCTGGGACCAGGCAAGGTTGGCACTCCACATGCCTGGGAAAGGCCTGGGAAAGAGAGAGAAAAGAGCTAGAAAAGAGCTGAGAGAGAGCTAGAAAAGAGAAGGGAGCTGGGAAAGAGAAGAGAAAGAAAGAGCTGAGAAAGAGGTAGAAAAGAGCAAAAAGAGCAGAGAGAGCGTCTAGGCCTGAGCTAGGCCTTATCTAGGGTATGGGTGGAGAAAGGTGTGGCCACATCAAATTCAGATGGTACCTCAGTGGATGCAGATGTGACCTCTTCCAGGTGTCCCAGTTGCCTAGGTAACGCAGGTACTGGGTGGAGACTTTGCTGCGAGGAGGGTGGAGTCTGCTAGCCATCCAGGACCGGACCTTACAGTTATATATACTAGTATAAACATATTCCTATAATACAGGTCTCAAATGAAAAGAAAGATTGCTTTTCTTCCAGCTCTTGTGCTGCTCAGTATGAACAAGTAACCCTTAAAGGTCCTCCCTTGTAAAATGTGTGAGAACCACCATTGTGAACATATTGTTAAGAAAACTTTCCAAGCTGGGCGCTGGTGGTTCACACCTGTAATCCTAGCTACTCAGGAGGCTGAGATCTGAGGATTGCAGTTCAAAGCCAACCCTGGCAGGAAAAACCGTGAAACTCTTATCTCCAATAAACAACTAGAAAACCGGAAGTGGCGCTGTGGCTCAAGCAGTAGAGTGCTCACCTTGAGCAGAAGAGCCCAGGCCCAGAGTTCAAGCCCCACGACTGACAAACAACAACAACTTTCCTAGCACAAATGCTTTCTGAATAATGTTAATCACAGATAGCCAAATTAGAACTAGATTTTAGACAGTGGAATAGTTCAGTTTGTCTTTTAGACCCTGAAAGTATTCACAGATAGCATGTCATTTAGCAGATTGAGGTGTGTGTGTGTGTGTGTGTGTGTGTGTGTGTGTGTGTGTGTGTGTGTGTATGAAACTTCTAGAAATGAAAAAACATGTAAAACTCAGATTATAAACAAACCTGGAAGGGATAAAGTAGGATTTAAACTTCCTACAATAGCAAAGATCCCTCTACAACAAGAAGTCATAAAATTTGACGTAGGTCTCAAGTTATAATGATCAGGACTTAAATTCCTTCCTTCTTCAGCATTACTTCCTTGATGTCTTACAACAATGCCAGCAGTTCCTAGGATCACTACATATGTTGCTAAAGTTCTGAAGTGAATAACAATAGTTATGTCTTTTTCTTATTTTCTTTTTCTCCTTTTTTGTATGTTTGCAGAATGAATGAGCAAGTGAATGGAAAAGTAAGCTGGCATATCAAATTGTAGGTAGAGCCGGGCACCAAGTGGCTCATGCCTATGATCCTAGCTACTCAGGAGGTTGAGATCTGAGGATTGTGGTTTAAAGTCAATCCTGGCAGGAAAGTCTATAAGACTCTTATTTCCAGTAAACAAAAAGCCAGAAGTGGAGCTGTGGCTCAAGTGGTAGAGCACCACCCTTAAGCATAAAAGCTCAGGAACAGCACCCAGGCCCAGAATTCTAGATTCTAGCCCCAGGACTGGCAACACACACAAACACACACAGACACAGACACAGACACACACACACACACACACACACGCACGCACGCACGCGCGCGTAAAGAGGAAGGGAGTGGGCAGACAGCATTTGCCTTCAAACCCAGCTACTCACTAATTGGATTTTTCCTCTTTGTAGTTTTAGGATTTTCAGGCCCAGAATTCTAGATTCTAGCCCCAGGACTGGCAACACACACACACACACACACACGTAAAGAGGAAGGGAGTGGGCTGACAGCATTTGCCTACTGGCAACACACACACACACACACACACACACACACACACGTAAAGAGGAAGGGAGTGGGCTGACAGCATTTGCCTTCAAACCCATCTACTCACTAATTGGATTTTTCCTCTTTGTAGTTTTAGGATTTTCTTCAGAGTCGTTGTTTGAAAGTTATATACTTAAGGATCCCAAAGCTTTCTACGCATTGGTGGGAATTGTTTTTGGCCATAATTTCAGTGACAGCAATGAACCTTTGCCACTCTCGGTAAGAAAATCATTCTGTAACAATCTTACTTGCACCCTGACCTTGAGTATGGGTTGATCCAAGCTGATCTGCCTCTTTCCTTTCCTCTGTGGTAACTTTGCATCTTATTGTACAACCTAATCTCTTTTAGAGTACCAGTTTTCAGATTTTTTTTGTTTTTTAGATGGATACTATTATTAACTTGGATTAGTTATACAGGAGAGGTTTTTGTTGTTATATTTCCACACATGTTTATAATACATTCCAACCAATCTTACCCTCTCTGTTGCTCTCCATTCTCCTTTTTCCCCTCCCCATAATGATTTCAACAGGTTCATTGTTCTGTTTTCATAAAGTTGCAAACAATCTATTTCTTTTTGTTTTGTTTTGTTGGTCATGGGGCCAGAGTGCTGTGCTTTGGGCTTTTTTGCTCAAGGCTAGTGTTCTACCACTTTGTGCCACAGCTCCACTTCCAGTTTTCTGGTGGTTGCTTAGAGATGAGTTTTTATTTTATTTTATTTTTTAAGATTTTTTTTTTTTTGGGTCCGGTCGTGGGGCCTGAACTCTGGGCCTGGGCGCTGTCCCTCAGCTCTTCAGCTCAAGGCTGCGCTCTACCACTTGAGCCACAGCGCCACTTCCGGCTTTTTTCTGTTTGCTTATGTGGTGCTGAGGAATCGAACCCAGGGTCTTGAGCATGCAAGGCAAGCGCTCTACCACTGAGCCACCTTCCCAGCCCCTATTTTTTAAGATTTTTGTTGTTGTTGGTCATGGGGCTTGAACTCTGGGCCTGAGCACTGTCCCTCAGCTCTTCAGCTCAAGGCGAGCACTCTACCACTTGAGCTATAGCGCCACTTCCGGTTTTCTGGTGGTTTATTGGAGATAGGAGTCTCACAGTCTCTCCTGCCCGGGCTGGCTTTGAACCGCGATCCTCAGATCTCAGCCTCCTGAGTAGCTAGGATTACAGGCGTGAGCCACCAGGGCCCGGCTCTGATAGAAATCTTAAGCCCCAGGAAATTTATCCTGTGTTTATCACAAACCTGTCAGCTAATAGAATATGATTGTCAGCTAATGGAGCTAATGGAGCATAATTACCCGCCCTAGTTTCTCTGGTACTTGCTTTGTAGCTGATGCACTGAGCTTGGGTGGGGTCCAGTCTCATACAGAATTCCACTTGTAGTGATACAGCCCTCTCCCATTCTTCTCCATTCAGTCACACTACAGGAGACACCCTGAAGTATTCTAAGACCTCTGTTCCCTACAGGATACCTATAGGGATATAACTTTTCTTGATAACTCCCACAGTTTTCAGAATCAATTCTCTTCTTGAATGACTTTTTCTTATGAAGTTGAGCTTCTCATGCTTGATTTAGTCCTTCATCAGTGCCTTTGGTAGCCTACCCTGGGCTGATAATCCCATTGAAATCACAGGCACTTGATGGGGCCCTCTACAGACTCTGCTTCATATCCCTTCTTAGATTGTGGAGAAATGGATAGACCATTAGCTCCAGTATTTCTCCAGGCCCCAGCCACCAGCTCCAGGGATGCTGACTGCTGGGACAGTGGCTTTGGGAGTATATCAGGAACCTGGAGATGAGGCAGCTCTCCCAGTTCCTTCCTAAGGAGCATGGGTCAGACTGAAATTCAGTTGACTGGTGTTGAGTTTGTAGCCAAGTAGATTCACTTCTCTAGGTCCCATTCAGTATTTGCTGGAACATGTAAACTGCCTTTGGGGTGGGGATACGGATGCCAATTTACCAAAACACTTATTTTCCAGAAGAGTCCACATAAATGATTGATGCTTAGGTTGACTTCCTCTGCAGCCCTTCTACTGGCTTGGGAACCATATTCCAGTGACAAGGCCACTGCTGCACATGGAAGATTCTGAGAAAACAAGGGGAAGTCAGTTCATGCAGGAAGAGCCAACTGATCTGATAAGAGGGATTGAAATCCATCATCTGTACAAGGTATCAGCTCACACACCTCCTTCCAAGAACTTAAGAACAACCAATGTAGGCATATATTTTTATTCTTGTAAAATATATTCTTATCACAAGATATCCTTTGTGACTGAGAACTTCAGTCACTTCTGTAATGCTACCCTCAGAGTTAAAGAGGTAGCCCTAAATGCCCTATTTCTGGCCATGGAGTTAAATGTCTGCATGGAAAGTTTCATGTGTCTCTTGGAAGGAGTGTCTTCTCATCTCCAGTACCAAACACCTTTGGACTTTCACTGGAATTCAGTCATTTGGTATATTACATTATGATGATGATGATGATGATTGTGATTATTATGATTATTATTATGTGGGTGTACCAAGAGGTTACAATTCCATCAGCCAGGTTATAAGTACAAGGCTTCTTGGTTAATACCACCCCTTCCATCATTTTCCCCCAATCTCCCCCTTCCCATCCCTACCCTCAGGTTACCTAGTTCAGTTTCTTCATAATGTGGTATATAACTTTTACCTACAATATCAAATTGAAAACCAGATTGTGCTTTTGTCTTGCTGGTGTAAAAACAGAGGCAATTGTTGTTACACAGGTCATGGCAGAGCCTTGCTCCACATAGAGCACTATGGTGATAAAGGACTCTGGCAACAAGGTGTGAGCTAAGTGCTCTGCTTCCTGGGTGTGGGTGTTACACTGCCATTCATGCCTTGACCTTCCACAGGTGTTTCACAGAGGAAGGAATAAATACATAGCAGTCAGAGATCTGAACATGAATCTGTACAGGGGGCAGATCACTGTGCTGCTGGGACACAACGGAGCTGGAAAATCCACTACCTGCTCCATGCTCACAGGTACTGTATGCGGTCAGCCCTCCTGAGGAAGCACTGAAGAAAGCATTAGCAGAACTAAATTTGGGGTTTCATTTCTCCTGATAGACCTTATTGATACTTTAACGAAACACCATTTGTTGTTTATTTTTACTGTCTATTTAACATCTGATTACTCAGTATACCCCGTGCCAGGAAAAGGATATCTTTGACTCTCTCAGTCAATCTGCAGAACTCAGTGTTATTCACTATGAGAAGATATTAACAGTAACTAGAAGTTTCTTTCCAGATAAAACTTTCTTATGATTGCTAGGCATTGCTAATCTTTCAAAAAAATTGTCCATAAATGTCTGTAACTTTTGATTGCTCCAGGAATTAGAATAATGCCTGTGAATTATTTGAAAATGATTCTAGTTTCAGAATAATTGCATGTCTAAAGTAATTTTATGCCTAATTTTTTGCATCTAATCAACTAAAATATTATTCTGTAAATTGAAAACTCTTTAATATAAGAGGCATATATATATTTTTTTTTTGGTTGGTTGTGGGCTTGAACTCTCAGCTTAGGTGCTGTCCCTGTGCTCTTCAGCTCAAGGTGAGTGCTCGACCACTTGAGCCACAGCACCACTTCTGGCTTTTTATTGGTTTATTGGAGATAAGAGTCTCACAGACTTTGCTGCCTGGGCTGGCTTTGAACTGTGATCCTCAGATCTCAGCCTCCTGAGTAGCTAGGATTACAGGCGTGAGCCACTGACACCTGGCTAAGGCATATATTTATTAAAGGCTTCACAAATATAAAGTTCTGAACAAATCAGTGAGATGCATTTTCAACCTTCAAGGAGCTCTAGAAGCCAGTCAGAGCACCACACTGTAGGAAAGCAGTCAGACTGCTGTGACTTTCCTCACAACTGCCATGTAAATGTCTTCAACCTTCTATTAAAAACGTTTAAAGAGTTTGTGCTAGTGGTTTCTACCTGCAATCACAGGCTTAAATCTGAAGGATGATAGTTTGAAGTTTTCTAGACTCCACCTTCAAAATAATCAGCAAAATGGGTCTTGAAGCATAGCTAAAGTGGTAGAGTGACAGCCAAAGAAGCAAACTAAGTGAACATGAGGCCCTGAGGTTAAACCCCAGTACCACAAAAACAAAAAAGAAAACTTGAAGGGCAGCAAATAGTGACATTTTGTGAGAGGTGCTTTTGGTCAGCCTTCTGGTTGCAGAACTTTGGAAATCAACCCTCAGCCAGTGAATATTCAACGGAGGGGCTCCATGAAGTCTGAGTCTCATAGTATGCTGGACAGGCATACTGATGTTGCTAGCAAAGTGGTCCTCTTTCGGGAATAGGCATTGCTATTTTTTTTTTTTTTTTTGTCAGTCATAGCGCTTGAACTCTGGATCTGGGCGCTTTCCCTCAGCTCTTCAGCTCAAGGCAAGCCCTCTACTACTTGAGCCACAGC